TTGAAAATTTTATGATTGTAACAGCGTGCTGGTGTCGTGAGTGGTGAAAGTAGCTAAATTTTCTAAGTAAAAAATATTTTGGCGGAAATTTCAAAGCCATGTTTGTGGAATATTAAGTTCACGATATTGCAGTTGTGAATTTAAAAAAAAAAACAATGTTTAACAAAATGGTAGAAAAATTATGAAATTTCGGCTCAAATCATTGCGATCTTTCCTCGACCTCATTTGTAAGGAAATAAATATTGTACCAGCATGCTGGTAAGTTATATGCTTCGAGCTTGATGGTACAATCATTTGATCGATCCAGCAAGCTGGTGTCGTATTTTTCCCTTTTTTTACGAAAAGGTTTCTGGTGTGTATATATGAGTATGTAAGTAAACAATTTTAGCTACCATTTTTAGCCACAACGACTTTTATTAGCTCTTTTTTAGCCATTTTTTTAAAGGAATTTGGCTACCACTAAAAATGCTTCGCGGCAACACTGCTCTTAAGTTAAGCGTTTGGTCGAATTGAGCTGTAACATACAGTTTTTTACATAAAGTATTTTACATAACTTAAAACCAAAAAATTAAAATAGCAAATGTATCGCTAAACGATAGATAAAATTTACTTTTACTACTTTATGAATGGGTCACATTCGCATTTAATCGCAAAATTTTAATTAGTCCTGTGAAATTATTTTCTTTCACCATTGGTTCCGGCAAGTAAAGATGATCCAAAACCCTGATTTGTGGGACTGTAGGGGCTGTGATCGAGCCGCCATATTGGGAAGAATGGGTAGCTTCCTTAAATTGCTATATTGCGAACTCATACTAAAAGTTCTCAGTTGTCAAGGCAAATTGTTACATTCAATTTTTGGCTCTGACAAGGTGTAGACACAAATATGTATGTAAGTATATAGAATTTTTTTTTGTTTTGTGCAATTGTAAGAAGGTTCAAAGTTATAAATTTGTATAAATAATAAGTTATTATTAAAAACTTAAAAGACACGACTTACGTTGAAAAAAAATTACCAAATTGAAAAAAAAAATACCATATTACCAAACTCGTTCTAAAAGGAAAAAAATTACCAGTTTTGGTAAAAATTGTTCCAAAGCGTAACGCTGCTACCAATACATACGCGTACGAACAACAGCGAAAATTTGGTCTACCTATTATTCGCGAACGCGAACCATCTGGACTTGTTTTATGTTTCTCGCTCGAGAAGGAGAATCAATAGTGAATATTTGATACGTTCACGTTCGCGTATAAAATAATAAATGTATGTACGCGAAAGTTCATATATGAATATTTCGGAACCCTGCAAAACAGTGCAAAAACTATTCACTTGCATGTTTTTACTAGTTTTGTGTTCAATAACTGTTTGAGCTAGTTTTTTCTGGCACCCTGAAGTTGTGAATATGGAAACTGTGCATACGAAATAATGCATATGAAAAAAACCGAAATAATGCATATAAGTAAAACACGAGACACTCGATTTTAATTTATTATTTATTTGCCTACTATGTAGGGCAGCCGTTCACTACAAGTGCGCACATAAAAAGTGAAAATACAAGGGCAGAACTTATTATTTAATTATTAAATCTAACTAATAGCTGTCCGTTGAATGTTGTTGTTGCTCGTTGCCAAACTGAAGCCGAAATGGGGTGTCAGCGCTTTTGGTGGGAAATGGTTCGTGTTGGTCGTTATGCTACTGTTCGCGCTGCACCGAACTGACAAAGCGGATGCGCGTGCAGACTAGCGAGCGTCAGCACCTTTTCCGTGGAAGTAGCTTTTCGTTGATCGAGAGCCAATTTGTTGAGAAGTCAATTCGCTGAGAAGTCAATTGCTTACTGTTGATTTAGTTGTGACGAAATGGCACGCGGATGCGCGTGTTGACCAGCGGGGTGTCAACACTTTATGGAAGGGTATCAACCTCTCGATGGTGTTAACTCTCCCCCTTCTAAAATCGGCCGTCCTCGGGCGCGCCATCGCTCTATCCTTGGGCCTTGGTAATATTATTCTCTATCAAATTTATAACAATGCGTTTCTGCCGATTCTTCCTCCAGCGAAATATAGTCAGCGCTATGACCGCCGAGATAATCAATCCACTAAGGGAACTAAACATTATGATTGAGTTTATATTAATTTTGTACCTTAGTGTTGCGATATGTCTTAAAAATCCGTATGTTGACTTCGTCTAGATATGGCGACGATAGCGTTGCAATGTGCTCGGTAAACTTAATATCTTGTGCCATGGGAGCCTCCGGAGTCAGTTGGTACTCATTCTTGTGGTTGATGTAACTACTGTCGTTAATGGTCACTTTGCTTTTGAATGTAATTAGGTACGGTGATCATTGACTTGTCTTCTTGTTGTATTTCCGCGTAGCGATTGTTAATTATAACGACACCATCGTCTACCATTTCTATGGGCGATATGTTGTGGGCGGATGTATTTGTTGTTGTTGTTGTTGTAGCGGCTACTAAGCCCCGTTCGGGACGGTTCATCCATCATCGTTGTCGTCTATTTCAGCTAGGGGGAGGCCCAGAAAGTGTGCTACTTCCAGAGGGGCTGTCCATAGGGACAGGGGCGTTAGCTGAGTGGGATTCTCAGGGCATGTGAAGAGGTGCCGGGAGTCATGTGGCGACTCTCCACATGCCGGGCATTGGTTGGGCACATCCTCGTTGATTCTACTCAGGTAGCTGTTGAGCCTGCTGCAATAGCCAGAGCGAAGTTGGGCTATTGTTGTGCGGGTCTCCCGAGGCAGACAAAGTTCTGTCCCGTCCACGTCCGGTGGTTGTGTGCCTAGAACGGCATTCACAGGGCGGGAGTCTACATAACTTGAGGCTGATTCCCTGTGAATGCCGTTGAGGGCCTGTCGGTAGGTTGTCGGGTCCAGAGGTTGTTTAATATACCTCTGGACTTCATCTGTCAGTTCGTAAAGATGCCCGCTGGGATGGCCACGTCTGTAGCTCCCAGCGAGGAACTGCTTGCAGAGCATTATGTTATGCTCCTTCACCGGGAGCATCTAGGTCTCGTCGTGAAGGTGATGTAGAGGCGTCATCAGGAGGCATCCTGTCGCGGTTCGTAATGCCGTGTTTTGGCAGGTCTGCAGCTTCATCCACTGCGTCCTGCTAGTTCCCGGCGACCATACGGTCGCTGCGTAGTTCAGAACCGGCCGGCCAATTGCCTTGTATGTTGCCAACAACGTTTCTTTATCTTTGCCCCAAGTGCTGCCGGCCAGCCACTTGAGGACATTGTTGCGGTTCTGTACTTTGTTGACAATTGCGGTTGTATGCGCCGAGAAGGAGAGCAGACTGTCGAAGGTAACTCCGAGGATTTTCGGGTTATTCACCGTCGGTATTGTTACGTCATCGACGTGAATACCCAGTGGCAGTCTGACCTCCTTCGTCCAGGTGGTGAAAAGGGGTTGCCGAGGATTTCGCAGGGGATAGGGCTAGGCTCCTTGCAGTGAAGAAGCGAGAAAGTTCGGAGAGGTAACCGTTTACTTTTGAGCACAAGTCATCAATTCCATTCCCAGACGCCATGATCGAACAATCGTCAGCATATGAGACTATATTAACACCCTCTGGTGACTGAGGAAGCTTTGATATGTAATAATTAAACAGTGGCTGGGACAGGACACCACCCTGTAGTACCCCTTGTTTAATTTTACGTGGCTTGCTGGTTTTGTCTCTGAAGATTACTGACGAGTGTCGACCACTCCGGTAATTCGCCGACCGCAGTTTGAGTCCCTGTGGGAGTGAGGAGGCCTCTATATCTTCTAGTAGCGTTGAATGACTGACAGTGTCGAACGCCTTGGACAGGTCCAACGCTACTAGAATAGTTCTCTCACAGGGGCGGTTTCGGTTTAGGCCACGAGTTATCTGAGTGTTTATGGCGTTAAGTGCTGTTGTTGTACTATGCACTTTACGGAACCCATGTTGATGTTTCGCTGGGGTCAGGTGTTTCGTGAAGTACGGGAGCATCAGGGCCTCGAGTGTCTTCGCTACCGGGGAAAGGCGAGTTATCGGGCGATAAGACTCTCCTTTGTTGGCTGGTTTCCCCGGTTTGAGCAGTGGGACCACTCTCCCCATTTTCCAGATGTCTGGAATGACGAGAGTGGCCATAGACAGGTTGAGGACCTCCGTTAGGTACGCTACTCCCGCAGGACCCAAATTTTTCAGCATCAACATGCATATTCCGTCGGGTCCAATGGCTTTGGAGGCTTTCGCCTTTTCGATGGCTACCCTTACCTCATCGCTGGTGAAAACAAGAGGCGCACTAGGTTTTGGCATTTTGTGCAGCCTTCTGGTCACTCGACGTTTGGCTTTATCCACCGGAGGATGCAGAATGAACTGCCAGCTAAAATAGCTCGCGCATCTCTCCGGGTCCGACGAAGCGTGGTCACCAAAGTCTATCTCGACTCTGTCGTCGCGCTTCGGCGGGTTGGACAACGACCTCACGGTTGACCAAAGCTTGCTCACACCAGAGGCGAAGGTGCAGGTCTTCAGATGCTCTTCCCATTTCTTCCGCTTATGTACGTTCACAAGTTGCCGAATCTCCGAATTGAGATCCCTAATACGGGGATTTCCGGGATCGGCCTGACGAAGGTTGTCGCGCTCATCAGCTAGAAAAGCCGCTTCGGCAGGAAAATTCGGACGTGGATCCTTAATACATCTTGCTGGAATGAAGCGAGCTGCAGCAGCGGTGACAACCCTGCAGAACTTACGCTCACCTACATGAACGTCGGTTGGTATGGGTAGTGCAGTGAAGGCGCCCTCATTAACATCCGTGAAGCCTTTCCAGTCAGCTTTGGAAAAGTTGATATAGGTCCGGTGATCCACGGAAGCAAAGTCGGCAGGTTTATCAATCGAGATGACTATGGGCAGATGGTGTGATGCTAGAGTCAGCATAGGTCGCCATGATACGCTGTTTATCAGACCAGCGCTGACAATTGTTAGATCTGGCGAGCTACAGCAGCTGCCCATAATCCTGGTGGGTGCGTCGCACAGTGGGACGTCCCCATATAAGCCGCGGCCAAAACTAGTAAACGCGCCTTGATTTAGTTTAAACGTGGTGTATGTTTTACTCTCACTTGGGAAAGAAGAGATATGAAGTATATTGTGGATAGGCTCACTGCCACGCCCACTGCACTTGTGGGCGGAAATATTAAAAGTGAACCGATTTTGATGAAATTCGGTTTGGTCACAGGCTTGGCGTTTAAAATAATAAATCTGAAAGATGATCAAGATTGGCCGACTGGTTCGCCCACCGCTCACACAAATTTCAGTTTCTGCTACTAAGGACGGACCAATTTTGATGAAATTTTAATCAACGCTCCCCCATTTTACTTATTAATGCATACATTTGAAATATGATGCACATTCTCCAACATCCATATAAAAGTTTTGTCAAATCCAAACCTATTCTTTAAATAATATTTTAAAGAAATAAATGATCTTTATTTTTTATTTCGAACAAGTTGTAGTGTCATTGCATTTTGGTGATCAATTGTCGGGCTAACACAATTTATACTTTTATTTTGTCTGAAAACTTTAACAACAAATATGAGACCATTGAAATAACGAACATTTGTCAATTAAATTACTACTGTAAGAACACAAATCAAACCTTTCAAGATACTGAAAATGCGATTTAGGAATCATATGTACATATATGTATATAAATTTACTAATAAGTTCTAAATTAATTCATCGTCGCTCACTTCACTACCACTGTTTGCTTCACCTTTGTCGTCTTGTACAACGTATTCCTTTATGTTCTCAAAGGAATTGAATTTAACACTTTTCCTTTTCCTGACCAAAAGCGGATCAGATGATAATAACATATTAGACATTATATCATAATTTGTTGCAATTGTTGATACTTTTCTGGCATTATTGAGGCGCATTTTCCTTATTTCCTTATGCTGGGTTTCTATAGCTTCCTCCGATAAAAGCCCAATAGATATTTCGAAGCTTTTTGATACCTGGCTCCCATGTACAAGAATTTTGTGAACCGTACTGGGCATGTAATACCACGAATACAAATTTAAATACAAATGAAATGTTTTATCCAAAAGAGCTTCAAATTCAGTAAAATTTATATGCTTTGCGCAGGATATAATACGTAATATTTTATCAAAATTTTTAATAAGGTTTACGTCAATTTTGGTAATTTCTGCAGAAATTTCACAATTTTCAAAAAAACGGCGGGCAGTGTTTCCATCATTGGTGGTGCCATAACCTGTTTTAACACCATCAATAATTAATCCGGTTTTTAGTTTAAACTCGTGCTGTACTCTCTTTTTATTTTCATTAAAAGTTTGTTTGTTACGTTCTCCTGTTACTCTCCAGCATTTTAAAGGCAACCTGTACGATATATGCAAGATACACTCAAAGAACTTTATATGTGCATGTAAAGTAGAAAGGCCGTATTTAAAAAACTCTTTGTTGACGGGTTTTTCGCGAATATTTAAAGTGTTCATTTCTATTGGTTTTGCATGGCATAAGTAACACGTTTGGCCGGCTGTATTACCAGTCAAAACATTAATTATAGCCCCGTCCATCATTGTCAACATGAATTTAAAATCAACGCAAGCTTTTTTCTCACCAACAGTGGGTTGATAAGTTCGAAGTTCACTGATTTCCTTTTGCATGTTGTTTTCCAACTCTCGAACTAGCTGAGGGCATTCCTTCTTAAAGCATATTTTAATTGGGCGACAATACCGCGATGAGGAGCATTGGCTGTTTAACCAAACCTCTTTGCCACTGGTGTTATTTACAATGCGAAGTGGTACTATTGCACAAACAATGAGAAATTCGTCCGAATTGGGCTCCTCTGTAAACTTCTGCTTGTATTGGCTGTGACCGCTGCTGCCATCAAATCCCCATTTGCACTCTAAAGTCAAGCCAATTTCCTCATTACATTTTTCTTTAAAAGTACTTAAATGTACCAAACTTGATACCGTTCTATTAACCAAATCCTGAAGTGGTACCTCAGCTGACGTTTCGGATACTGTGATCGGGTTTGGGAGCATTTCGTCTTTGCCTATTTTAAGAGCATAATAACTGGGAAAACAGTCTTTGTGAATTCTGTTTACCACTGATCGCAAAGTATTATACTTTTCCTTTGATAGGTTTAAATCGAAGAAAAGCCCTAAAGCGTCGTTTATAGAAAGACAGTCTACGTCTCCTTGGTGTATTGATTTTTCGATCTTTTTTGCAGCTTTAGTAAGTTCTTCCGGCGATTTTGATGAAACAAGATCTTGAAACCCTTCTTCTTTTTGTTCTATTTGAAGCCATTTCATATGGCACATACGGCCTTCCCACGTGTGCAGAAGTTATCTAAAAAAGAACACGATGCAGGACTCAGTCAAGCCATTAAATAATTTACATATAATAAAATCGAAATGCAGATGCGTCACAAAGAATTCATTCTGTACCTCAATGGGTACTTGATTTTGCACAACAAACTCTGTCTGAAGCCAATCTGAATACTTCTTCTCAAAAATTGATCTATTCCGAGAACTTGCTGTCAACTTTTGCTTGAATGCTGCAACCAGTCGTCGAATTTTATCTTTTTTTACCTTCGTAGAGTCTCCAAATTTTGTTTTTAGAAAATTGTTTACTGCACATCCTTGATTGGTTCGATTGGAATTTTTTTCTTTCACCCAAACATTAAAAATATCACCAAATTTAACGAGAGGTGCCACTACAAAAAATGCAATATAAGACAAGCTCGCAGGTTTTCGCAGCTGAAATTTTTTAGACTTCACACACATACTTGCGTCCAAATTCCTGTATTACTATTTTAGCTCGCTTCTCAGGTCCTTTTTAAATCCTGATCTCTAAAGATTCCGTTTTGAAATGTTTATAATTTGTAAATTAAGCCGAGTTTTAATTCAAAATATCTCGGTTATGCAACAGGCAACACAAAAATCAAAGTATACTACCACAACATAGAAACACTTGTAAAGTATCCACAAATACCATTTGACTAAATGGTTGTCAAGTTCCTAAAAAAGCCTACTTAAAATACATCACTCAAAATCAAAATGTTGTATTTAAAATTTATTCATTTACATTGCATCCACTTTGAAGCCACCTTGAGGCTACAAAAATTCATTTTTTCCAAAAATTCTTTTTGATCTGACTTAGTAGGATATTAGGTAATAAATATACATACTAATTTTTTTTTAATTAGCTAGTTTGGTTTTTTGACTTTTGGCCGCTGTCGTCCCATAGTGCGTCTGTCCGTCCGTCCGTGTACACGATAACTCGAGCAAAAATTGAGATATCTCAACGAAATTTGGTATGTAGGTTTTCTTTTATCCAAGGTAGGTTGGTATTGAAAATGGGCGAAATCGGACTGAAACCACGCCCACTTCCCATATAACGGTAATTTCCAGAAATACGAAAACTGCAATATTTTAGTAACTACTAAAGATTATTCACTCAAAATTGATATTTACAATAAGCTTTAGACGAAAAATAAGAATATTATAAATTTTTGGAAAATGGTCGTAGCCACGCCCACTTATGGTTACATGTGTATATCTTGGTAACCGCTCCACCAATTTCATCCAAACTTGGCGCAGTTGTTGGCCTTGGTACAGCATACTAAATGGCCGAAAATTTAAAAAATCGGACAATAACCACGCCCTCATCCCATATAACGGTAATTTAGAGAAACACGAAATCTTCGATAAATCAGTAAACATTAAAGCTAATTTATTCAAAATCAATGCTTGCAACAATTCTTTACC